GATTAAATTGAAGTGGGTACTAGAAGTTTAAATAAAGAAGTTTTACTATAAAAAACATAGTTGCTTAAAATTGGTAGAAAAGTAGAAGGAATTTACTGGTATCTGATGGATTCGGACGCATTAAAAGTGAAATCACATACTTTCTTTAGTCGGTGGAATGTTTATAAAATGTTTTGATGTCTAGTGATGAAAGAAGTATAATACTGCTTGTAAGGATCGCTTTTAGTTCTATTTTTTTATTCTGTCTGTGTACCTATATTCATGTTTCAAAATGCAATGAATAACTACTTTTTACAGCGTCGTATATTTTCATGTTTGATTCACTGAAGCGTTTAGCTTAATAACATGGGAAACTATTTATAATATTTTTGTAAAATTTAATGCTTATTTAGATAGGTACCTATAATATTTTTTTGTAATTAGTTTTTTTTTGTCTGTAACGATATTTTTTAACGCTTTTGCTACCCTGCACTGAATATTTAATGTTTTTCACCTTTTTGGGCCATTCGGACGCAATGAACGCATGCAGTAAATGCAAAGCCCGTTGGCGCTCGCCGGAAAAATGTAACGGCGGTACGTAGGACGCGGGAAAATCTTTATGACGTGTTGTATGCCCTATCAAAGATGTATACCACCTATTCGTACACCGAACGAATACAACGTAAATAACCCATAAAGGCGACTCTGCGCCGCGCGGCATAATAGAAGCTCATAAAAAGCGCTTTTATAGCCGGTCGTTACCCGTGTGCTTCTCATTCTAGTCGCGCGGGGAAAACGCACCCCCAGCAGGACACATCAACGCGAAAATTGCGCAAACTCCAATTATCCAATGACATTGCACACAAGACAAACGAAGAACGGATCAGGACTGAAAATATGCTTTGGACGCACCCTCAGCTCGAGTTGCAAAGGGTGCATAAAGAATTCTATTATATGCGACTTGTAAACGATATTTTTACAGAGTTAAAAAAAAAACTAAGCGTCGGACATGAGAACATGAATGTATGATGTAAATATTGTTTGGTGGGGGTGTTGGTATAGAAACGAGGGGTTGGCAAACAAAGACGTCTTGAGGCGGCGAGTGACTGCGGCTTTGAAATGCAATCTCAAACAAAGAAACGCGAAAGTGATGTTTTACTACCATGTCGGTCCTAATAGGAGGGTAGTAGCATGTTTATATGCATTATTAAGGCAATAAATGACACGAAAGAGCGTTATTTAGAGTGTTTTCACCCTTAAGAATATCACCATGGAATTTGCACTCATGACATTTAAGTAAGTCGCGGATTATGATCATTTGATGATATGACGGTTGCTAGGGGATGGAAATAAAAATCGAGGAAAATTGCATGATGGCGGCGTGTGATGGACACGCATGCGGTGTCCATCATAATACGTGTTGCGGCGCGTCGCGACGCATATTAGTTCAATTACATGCATGACGGCGACGCCAGACTGCGGCGCGCCGAGCGAGACAATTAGACCGAATAATTACCCTCATTGTCGACGCGCGCACGTTGTAAAAGGGTGCGTCGGTGCGTTTCCTGGCGCGACGGGACAATACGTGCCCATAATTCATGCACGTACGCGGTATTAATTTTACTCACCAGGTGTTACCGAAAACCGCACAAAAACCGCCCTCCAGGGTAAAAGTCACCCCTTGATATTGCGTGAGGAAATTTAATTTCATTAATTGTTATCAACATTTTTATCGACAAGAATTTTTATGAAAATTAAATTTTCTACGCTTTATGTGCACTAGTGCGCTAGCGGTTCAATTAGGGGATGAATGATTCTCCCCATGCTTGTGAGATACGTTACGAACATGAACACCTATAATAATCGCATCACGCACGAGCTCGATATGTCGATGGGCGACGGGCTCCTTTGTTGTGCGTACGAATGCATTTATCGCAGACTTGGGGTGGCTCACAAAGCGCCATAAATTGCATCTGAATTGGAATGGCACGCCGACGCACAATACGCGAAAAAGCTTTAAAACGCTCGCGTCGCAAGTAAATCACACGAGATTCAATCATGTACGCCGATATTTCCATATTTCAAAAAGGCTCGGAAATTTCAAGTCCATTCTTCTATTCAACCCCATCGACATGCGAATCGCGCTCGTCCTGGGTAGGCCGCCATTTTATTAGCTTAATAAATCTGGGGATGCGAACCGAAAATGCTCTCGAGTAATATTAATTAATGCTTTATCGCGTTATCGCTTTCATAATTCATTTGCGGGGAAGCAAGTGTTTTAAGATTGAAATTTTTAAGGGTGGAGTGCATTTAAATTTTTCGCTGCTTATCGATCGATGCCATGGTGCCGCCGCGATTTCTTTCACGTCACTCGCACATTTTTGATTAATTTTATTAATTTGCGAGCGTAATTCAACCCCTTTTGTTTACTGCGCTTCGTTTACTTTGTGTTTTTTGTGCGTGTCTGCAAAGAGCCCCCTTTTTGCTTTTTTTGTGGTTCATATTTTGTTTCTTTCTTTCCAGTTCAATTCTGTGCGTGATTAAGCGGTCGTTTTAATTTTGAAAATTGCCACCCACATAATTGGTGGCATACATCACTCTGCAAGCGTTTGCACCCTGTGTGCGCTAATTTGCCCGCGTATTTCCTGGTGGAGCGTTTGTTGTATGAAATTCTTGCGAATTTTTACGCGCTTGAAACAAGTTATGTGCTGCTCGACGTGCGGGGGTAATTGCCGAGATAACAAAACGACTATTAAAAACAGATGAAACAGAGGTTGATGGAAAAACGCAGGAAGCGGAAGTTGGAATGCCAAGCCCGGAGCGGCAAACCTGAAATATGAAAAAATAAACGCTTTCCGAAGCGAAATTGTAGGGAAAATTACCACATGTACTCATATTTTCTTTCAATTTATATACTGGATAAATAATTTCCTGCTTCCAGGAGGGAAATTCAATATTGTAAAAGGAATATTCAGGGTGTGAAACAATGAAATTTAAATTTTTAATTCAATTCGCAATGCACTTGACCGCCGAATACACCGTAAAAGCACACGGTGACGGGACGCTAACCAACCGTCATGCGGTTTCTCTCATTTTCCGACTTTTGGTATGCTTTCCACCATTCCGGTTTTCGGTTTCTGCGTACAGTGTTTTATTTCCACCGCAAGCGCTACGAAACGCCACAAAACCAGCTTTTCTCCAACATTAATGAATTTAAAGGTGTGAAGGCGCTGCGCAAAACAAAAAAATGCATTTCACACATTAACTCTACTCACCGAATGCCATTATGTGTTTGGAAAAAACACTTTTTGCCATCAGGTTTTACTACAACTCACTTGTTCGTACATTCAGTCGGTCGGTCATGATTCACTTCACTATTATTCAACCTCCATACGTCGCCCGTCGAAGAAAGGGTTGTTAGTTACCCTCCGACACTTTATAAATTACGATCGCTGCGTAATTAATTAATTAATGATCAAAGTTTTCGTCCTCTCGGCCTGAGAGTTTCGAATTCGTAATTCGCAAGGTGTTTAACGAAAATTATCGTTGCCAAAACTAAATCGAAATTGTACGGATTAATAGCCGTTGTGATCAACTATTATGACGGGTTAATGTGGAAATTATTTGTGACAATATTTGCTTAAATTGTTTCGCATTTGATGAGGGTAATATTTCTGGTATTCTGTATGATAGAGTTTCGCGGGGATCCGGTGGCAGTTCGTAATAAAGACGAAACGCAATGTACAAGCTCGACGAGAATGACATGCATGTGTCGAGAGTGTCAGGCCGAAGGGATGCCAAATAATGCGGAGCATTTAATAAATTTCGACACTTCCGAACTACTCTCGAACAAAGTTTATCGCGGGGGTGGCGTAATTAAATCGTGATAAGCCATATTGTCAGCGTGAATTGACAACTATTACCTAAGTTAATATTTGGATGAAATTCTGAATACAATGTATATTTTAATTCTGAAGTTTCACTTTTCACCATTTGCTCGGAAGGTTTTTCTTGTCGAAAATGTGTGCCCGACGATTGTTCATTCGCAACATTTTATCGCTCGTTGCACGCAATCACCCTCGTAGCCCTTAAGGTTCTCCCTTGACGTTGCCGTGGCTGAACAAGGAAAACAACGGAAAATGCGTTTTTCATTCGCGTGAATTCTTTGCTTTTTTCTGCCTAGGGTGGTACTTGAAGGGGACTTCATCGTGGGCATTTAGTTGAATAATGTCCCGTCAACGTTTCCAATTGTTTCTTAATTTATCTGGCGGCAGCTCAAGCGCAAACGCAGGAATGCACTACCCTCTTGCTTTTGGTGGGTAATTTCCTAAGTCGTTTCTAATCTTGCTCTTGAATTTACCGCTTTATTTCTTATTCTTAGATACGCGCAAAATTTGCATTGGAAATTAACATTTTATTCTTTTGATTGCGCCAAGACGAATGACTAATTTGAAAAGCTGAATAAAATCACTATAAGAACGGAATTACACTCGTCGGGTGGTAGTTTGTTGGAAAGCAGGATGCGAGAGTTACGATGAGCCTGCTCATGCAATAAATGGCTTTTTTTGCTACTGTTCGATCTTCGATACAATTCGCCGGCATTCATCCGAGTCTATAACATTCAAGCAGTGCCTTCTTATCCGCCTAAGAACGTAAGAACACTAAATGGGCGCCGAGAAAGAACTAGCGTATAATGCCGGAGGACTCTCAATACAGTGGATTCGATTGCAGCTGATTTGAAAGGCGGAAACGACGGCGGGGGAGCACAAAAAGAATTAGATAAGCGCGGAGGAAAGAGCCTACAACAGTCATCAGACAATCGGTTGATATTCGTCGAAAAGAAGGAAATTGTTAACTATTGTTCGAACATTGGCAATTCATTTGACGCTTGAGTAATTCACGATAGTACGAAATTGGAAAGCGGATCAAATTTACTAACAGCAAATATTCACTAATCAATTACAATCCTACATTACGGCAAATATTGATCACCATATGTAATTAAATTTTGGCGTTTGCAGTTGAAGGTGGATTAAAAATTATGGAAGATGACGGGCCAGAACCAGAAGAAGAAAATAATTTCGAAGGTAAGTTTTTGCACTCGTTTCTTTTTCTTGGGTAATTTGCAGCGGTGATTTATTGCCACCGTCGGTTTACATTTAGATGAGGAGGACGAGTTGGAGCACGGCTACGAGATGCAAGAGAGCGATCTGAAGTTTGAGGATTTCGGCAAGCGGCTGGCGCATCCGAAGATCGTGCGTGCGTGCGCGCTAGCGCTACGGCGCTTCGAGGCCAACTCGCTGTTGACGAACCACTGCATCGTGAAATTGCTGCATCGCATCGCGTTCGACTCGAAAATGCCGACGATGCTCTTTCAGGTATCGATTTTTCGCGTTTTTCAGCGCATTTACGAGGCGAAAACTCTCCCACAGAATAAGGTACTAATATGACTTATAACAAAGAGAAATAATATAATCAAATCTGTGTTTTTCTTAAGGAACTGGTTAAATTTGCAACGTACGTAATCAGACAGTTTTTCCATGTGGCTCAGACGAATGCCAATGTTTACATGGAGGCGCTGTTTTGGAAGAGTGCTCGAGAGGCTATTGATATAGAGGATGGTTACAGCAGTTATAATGACAAGTAATTATTTTTACTTTTTTGTAGTCTGAAGAACACTTTTTCTAAATTTTGCAAATATTAACTGAAATTTTGATTGTCGAGTTGTACCAGTAGTATATTCGCACCTCACAAAGTCATTTTTCTACATTCTTCGCATTTTCCGTGCAATTTTAAACGTTTTTCCACTTCGCCAACAGATCGAAAGCTTTGGCACAGGCATGGAGCGAGCACGAGGAAGACGAATTGCGACGCCTGTTCGTGGAACATCAGCAGAATGCCATCGAGCGAGGTATTTACCATAAAAATTTTCATTAAAAACTAGGAATCCGACGCCTTTCGTTATGCGCTCACCGATGTGCGTTATTTTGCAGACGTAGTTGATTGGATCGTCGATAACCTGGTGGACAACTCGAAGACGCGTCGTGCTGTTCTCAAGAAACTCAAGGCGATGTATCTCCTAGTGGACTATAAGGCCGGGAAAAAGTCGGTGGGTAAAGTACCGATGAAGCAGTGGAGCGAGGAGGAGGAGGAGCAATTACGTGAATTGTTTGCGCAATTTGCTGAAGCAATGGGTACGTACCGGTTTTTTGCGTCAGGGTGACGATTTCGAGCGGTTTGTCCAAGCGTGTCTAATTGCGCGCAAAGTTTTCTTTTCGCAATAACGAGTGTTTTGGTCTCTTGTTGCAGATCCATTAACGTGCATAATGGAACGCCTGAATGTACGTCGGACGAAAAACCGCATCGTGGAAAAGTGTCTGGAGTTGGGATTGGTGACGGACAAAAAAGAGCTCCGAAAGAAGCGCATCGCAAAGGGAAAGAGCCAGAACAAATCTGGCAACCCCTTCCAATACGGTAGGAAAATTGTGGTTTTCTGTTTTCCACGTTTTTTTTTTTAGATTTTTTTGTACGTGGCGCGTTTTGTTTGTTGTAATCAGGACGACTCTAATGAACGCGTCGGATATATCGGATTATGTAACCGATGCCAACACGACCGGAAAAACATTTGCGCAAATTTTCCCAACATCATAAATGCCCGGAACAGTTTTTGCGAAATATTTTTATGCGAGATTTAAATTTGTTTAGTTTTGTAGTGTTGAATTTATTGAGTTATAGTTTGTCATAGTATGTGGACCCTCATGTCCTATAGTTTTGGCATTAAAACAAGTTGATGATGCTCTGGGTTTCGTAGGGTCGGACGCGGGGTCGAGTTATTAGGGCTAAATTGAAACAACAAGGAGCGTCTACGTTAGGACACAACTTATTCCGGGATGTCGCGCTAGTTGGGCTAGTTAATAGAAAATGGGCGCGCCGGTAGTAAATAAGCAAATAAGCTATCCTTACATGCGCAAAAACTCATCACGCTATTCATTACAGACACGCGCTTTGGTGCACAAAAAATAAAGTAAAATTGTCACGTCGGTTATGCTTGCTGTTTTTGTAAAATATACAGACGTATTAAAACGTGAAAATATTACTTAAAAAATACAATTTGATGCGTTTTTGACGTTTTCGAATTGAAAACATTTTTGATGGGACAATGCAAAACCGCAATTGTGCACATAGCTTCGACGTTTTCATTGTTTATCGTGCGTTTGTCGCTGATGTAATCACACCTACGAATTCACGATGCACAAATGAACAAACAATGAAAATGGAGCGCAAATAGTACCGGGATGTGTCCGACGACTCTGTCATTTTAGTCGTGCCGGTCGTCGATAACGGCAACAATACCCACCCGCACAAAACGCTCTCGGACTTTTGCACTTTGATGTACACGCCGCGCCAACTCGCCCATCGCCGTTGCTCGGACATGTTTGGTCGTTTAATGAATCGACAATATCGATAACACCTCGCTGGATGGCTGACGCGTGGTCGACAACGCTTTGTTATAAAATTGAGCGCTGGTTTGAGTGTAATGGAACGGCAGCACGTAACATTCATTACGTGCCATTACGCGCGGCAACAATTATAGCCCAAATTTATATATTAAATCAGAGGCAATTTGTATGATGGTCAGCGGAAGCATTCACATGGGTGTCCGATGGCGCACGTTCTTTCCGCCGATTGTTTGCCCCGTTCGCGTAATTTCATTAAAACGAAAAAGGGTTGCCTGTTCCGGTATTCTGACACCTAAAATGTTAAATAGAAATATATATGTGCGAAGGTAGCATGCTAATTAATTTGCGCGATGTATATTTTGACATTGATTTTTGCTTAGCATGGAGTAATCTGAAATGATTCGAAAACAGCTTGCGGGCGTTGTAACGGATCTTTTGAATGCGTGTTTGTTATTTCACATTTTGTTGACATTCCATTATACAATCACGAGGCGGCACGCAGGACGAGTCGAACGTTACGTTCACCTATTTAAAAAGCGAACCGCCTGCGAGATTACGTTGCGCTGTTCGCATTGTTGCTGTGTGTTTTGTCGGACGTGCCTTTAAATTATTGAATCTAATTGAAGTCGAACCCTTTCGCTTGCTGCCATTTGTTCTCGTTTATTCCGTGCGCGTTTGCTGCTCAGGACTTTCAATCTTCCGCGCAAAAACATAGCACGGACGGAATTAGAGTTTTGCTATGTTGCGGAATTACAAAACAAGCAATTACGAATAGAATAGAATAGCAAATAGCAAGGTTAAATTAAAAACAAAACAAAAACTATTGTGTTTCAGCTGGGGATGATATAAACAGTGAAGATGATTCGAATTCTGATTCGGCCCAGTCGGACAATGATGAATCGGAGAATGAAAGTTTTACTAGTAAGAGTTCAATAACAAACTCCTCTCAAGCCAAGATTAAAACTGCTAGAAAAACTCAAACTGAGAATAAGAAAAAGAGTAAAGCTAGACTGAATACATCTATTGCTGAAATCACCAGAATTCTTATTGATTTAGCCTCAGGAGGTTGGTACTTTTGACTAAACATGATGTAAAATAAATATTGTTTATTAATTTATTATGTAATCAGATCTAAAACAAGGAATTGACTGGCTCAAAGACAGTATCGAAGATGCAGCTGAAGACTGGAATGATATTTCTGAAGATGACGAGGGAGTACCTCTAGTTCCAATTCTTGAGTATTCCATTGCGGCTATGGATAATCCTGCATTTTTAGGCCTCCTGAGGGCATTGAACATTCAAGAGCCTTCTGCTGATGGACAAGTAAGTTTTTGAATCCTTAACGACCTCTCTTATCCTGCTTTTGTAAATACTTAAATAGCTCTAATTTTTGAGTAGATAACTTGACATTATTGATTTAAAGGAAGCATACTGGCGCATCCCCACCTCTTTGTCCTTGTCGGAACTGCAGGAATACGGAAAGCTGCTCACAAAAGCACTGGATGGTAGTTTAACATTGGAGGAAAATCCAACAGAGGGAGGTACTGACATAACTCAACTTCCTGATACCGATGGGAATCCAATAGAAATTGAAAATGTTGAAAATACCGAACATTTCGTAGCTACCCCAGAAAATAAATTAATAAATGCTATTAAAAGAGCAAAGAATGAAAAACTGCGCGCTATGATTAAGAAGATGGTTTCTAGTAGAGAAGAATCTGAAAATAATTTAGAATTGAGAATAGAAGGTACTGATCAACCTCTTAACAATGAAAATAATAAATCCAATTCTGATATTGATGAAGAAACGTCTCCTACCAAGAAAAACAAACGCATTCGTATTGTGGATTCGAGTGATGACGATGAAGAACCAATTGATAACAGATTCCTAGGAGAGGACGAGTCTGATAAATTGTCATTTAGACCAGCAATAATTCACGATTTTAGTGACGAAGATGAACCTAGTAGTACGCAGCGTTCGATTTTACAAGAGAACACTGAAGAAATGTTTAAGTCAGCTAGGATTATCGTAGAAAGCGATGATTCAGAGGAGGAACCAAGTATTCCTCTTAAAAAATCAAAAGCTAAAACAAACATTCTAGAAAGCGATGAAGATGGCGTGGCTAATTCAGATAAAGAAAATTCAGAGGAAAATAATGTGGATGAGTCGAAACGGCTTCGATCCACATCAGACTCAGAAAGTGAAAAGCCCAAGCCGAAAAGATCTCGAGTAATTATAAGTGATGATGAAAATTAGTTATGGTACTGTATTTAACGTATTTAAGTATTGAATGCTGGGGCCGTATATTGTATGCTGTGTCCAATTGATTATTGTTTCAATATATACGTCGTCTTAACCCAAAATAGTATGAATAAAATTTTGAAGAAATGAACCAACACCTAAATTACTATTAGTTGTTGTATGGGTACTTGTGTGTGTATGGCTGGAGGTATGCGTATGCGTATGATGCGATGAGTGATGGTCACTACAAGAATACCAGTCGTTTTCACTTGTTGATGTGTGGTCCTGAACATTTGAAGTATGCTCCTCAACATTTGATGATTGATTATCTTCATCAGATGTACATGATGGCTGGTTCTCATCTGCTAGGAGATATGGAGGCATGTCATTGTAGTTACCACTGAAACCATTAAATACGTAATTACTGGAGTTTAAAATATATTATGTTCTGAAGTACCATGGGCCATAATTGCACGTGTACAATGAACAAAATGGTGTCCATGGTTTCTTCGGATCAATGTACAAAATATAGTCACATCCTAACGTGTCAGAATCTGCCCAGGCCACCTACAAATATAATCAGGTATTTATAACATCACTTATACAATTGTAGGATTTACTTGTGTGTAATGTCCAACTTCACGACCCGTCAAGTCAGTATTCGGATATTGAAAATCATTACATTCATAAAACCATGAAGCCAAAGCTGCTGTCCAATTTTGTTCTGCGATGAATTGTGAATGCCATGCAATGTAAATATTCTGGCCCACACAATGCCATCGTTCTGAAGAATACATTATATACGTTGCGATCTAATTTTAATACTAGACTTATTACCGTCTGAGACATTTAGATGATTCATCCAGCACTGATTCGATATAGGCACACACTTCTCTGCGAGGATCTCATCATAAATCTAAAAATCACATTTTTGAAATTTATACCAGTCACAATTGAGATTTGAACAATTGCACACCATTGTTTTCATATATTTGGCTCGCGGTTGTCCGGGCACCACGCCGTCGACTAACATTTGCCGAAAACGATTGTGTTCATCGGTGGCAGCACGTTTATCGTCACTTGATAATCCTCTTACTAATTGTGGCAGACGGAAATATGAATCTGGTTTTATATTGCTCTGCTATGTTAATATATGTTTGTTTTTACTTACACAATACGTAAGAGCCGTCTGGACACGTATCTATTGCGTACGCGGACACGATTATTATCATTTGATATAATACTGGATAACGAACTTTCATGCTTTAGCGTTGGCGGGTTCAAGTTTGCATTTATACAAGATTTTTATGAATGCATTATTAAAGTTGTATGTGGTCATGTGATGTTTGGAATTCGACTGGAGTACTTTATTTGATATATTCGTTTTTATCTTGATCGCTTGAGCATATAACAATATTGTTATTATATTAAGTCAATACATAAGAAAAATGCATGCGTCTTCAATAATCTATTGTATCTGGAAAATTGCTCAAATAACAAATAAGGAATGGAAACGAGAAAAGGATTGATTAAATAAATGTTTACAACTTTACTATGTTCACATTATGATTTCAACATCGGAAACTATCCAGGTTTATTATAACGAGTATTGACAATTATTTTGATAAATCATGCAATTTCGTATGGTGCCAAATCAGAAAATCCTGGATTATTGGCACTAATTGAAAAAAATACATATTTAGAACAAATATTCTAATATGTGATTTAAACTCACCATTGACCATAATTGCAAGTATACAACTTACAAAAGGGATGCTCTGGATCATCTGAATTAATAAACAAATAGAAATCACATCCAAATGTATCCGTATTTGCCCATGCCAACTAAAATATTCATTGTCATAATTCAAATTAATTAATCCAGTTCATTTATACCTGTCTATAATGACTAACATCCAAGTTTCTCACTCTTACATTTGGATAAGCGAAATACTGTTTTTCGGACCACCAAAAATCTACTGCTTCATCCCAGTATTGATTTGGGTCAAAACGATCACTGCAAGTGTAGTATATGTTTTGGCCAACGCATGGCCATCTTCCTAAAATATTAAATTGACTCTTGTATTGTCACTAATTTTATTTATAAAGTAGTATATATTATGCAACACAGGTGAAATAATTTCTTTATTATGCCTACTTTGGTGACGCTTTAACATCATTATACCCTTGTTGTATAATACGAGCCTACTCTTAATTTTATAAGTACTTACTGTCTTTTACATCAATTGGGTTGTTTGTACATTGTTTTGAAACCGGTGTTGCTTTATGTGCCAGCAACTGGTCGTAAACCTGAAAAGTTAGTAAGTTATTTAAAAATAAGTTAGTAAGTACTGTCTACTACTAACCATTGTTTTCATGAACTTGGCCCGTGGCTGTCCTGCAACTCTTCCATCGGCGAGCGATTGTCTAACACGATTATGTGCACAGGTTGCAGCGTCCTCATCTGTTTGTTTTAATCCCTTTACTGAAATAATTACAGATTGAAGAAAGTCACATGTTCCGATTGTGTTGCTTCTTGTTTACCTATAACAAGTGTGCCACTAGGACAATACTCGATACTGGTCACAAAATTGAGTAAAGAATACCATAAAACAATGTGATAAAAGCGCATGGCGTGCGAATATCATACGGAAAATATATCTTGCCAGTTTCTCGTGCATACGGTCTACTTTACAGCACCACAAACGCATTGTTTATCAGACATGTGGGCGTGTATGTTTGCGCAAATATTTTTCTTAATTTTACTAATATTTTACAATTGGCTTTGTTTTCTTTTGAAGACATTGCAACGCGGAAAATTCTTATTGTTTATGAAAACAATACAATTCTGTAATTACGTAAGTAATTGTTTGCTTTTTGAAATCAATTATTGACAACGTTTGCAACCTAAAATATGTATTAAATATGTTTACCTTTAATTAAAAATAGCCATTCAATATTAACTTTATTTCTTTCCATTTCTGAATTGTTTTGCATATTTCTCAATATTACAATTTAAAGTTCCCTATTATCATGTAAATGCGAGAATGTTCCATAAGATGCTAGCTTAAAATGAGAAACGCTCTATAGGTATCTTTGGAGCTATTTCACTTATTTCGAGTTTCTCGCGATTAAGTTTGCAATGCCAAAGATCCTACTCATGCCTTTTCAATACCCAATACCCACAGAAAGTGCCTTAAAATGTTCATTGAAAATTAGAAGTTTTCTAACAATTTGAAAACCTAAGTGGAAAGCATTTTGTATTTACCTTTGTTTTTAGTTTTTTTACCATCGTATTATAGTTCAAGATACTGTTACATGATATATATCATTTTATAGTGCCGGAAAATGCTCATCAAAAATTCTCATTATGTTCAATGAGTTAAAATTTCTGTCAAAAAACAGGGTCTAACGATTATTTAAAATTAATTTTTTCCCAAAGACTGGGCCGCATTTTTGTCTTCATTTTTTTTTCTACTTCTACCTTTAAAGTTTTTTCACGGGTTTTAGGCACAAAAAGTGGTACTTTAAACACGTACGGCTAAGGCCGCGAGTAAAGTACCTACTTTACTAGCGGGCTTTATTCACGGGGCGCTTGCGCTTTTTCCCACAGTGCCACACAAGCAAGTGCTGCTTCTGCTCGTGATATTTCCCAGTAGTGTACAAGCGAATTTCAGAGATTTGCAATGCAATAACCTCAACATGAAAATAGAGTGAAAGTAGAAAAAATAGCGTAAGCATCACGTGGCTAAACGTTGTTAATAAAACTCCCGTTTAGCCACTTGATACTTAATCCTTACTAATATTATAAATGCGAATGTCCTGAAGTTTATCGTGCTTTCACGCAAAAACTACTTAACAGATCATCATGAAAATTTGTACACATATTCTTAGTGGTCCCCGAAAGGTTATAGGCTACTTTTTATTTAATAAAAAATATTATTTTTTAAATAAAATAAAGAAATTGTTTAGTCAATAATACCTCGGCATCTGGCGAATACTTTAACGCCATCTAGCATTCCAGCAATGAAGCTCAAACCTAAGTACTATAGTACCATCACACTGTATTATCACTGTATTACCGACAGCTACGTCAACATCAAATCCAATTGACTACACTATGGAGACTGTACACTATACTTCCATAGACCATGGCTGGCCAATCCCAGGCCCGCGGGCCACAAAGTGGCCCGCCAGGACATTTGAATTTGCCCGCCGCAAAACCCAAAGTTGGAACTTTTGTATGTGTATAATATTTTATGTATGAATGGCCATAGTCTGTGGCCCGGTGCCGCCGCAATCTAAAAGATTTTGCCCTCCAGGAAAATCCATTGGCCAGCCTTGCCATAGACTATACTTTCAGCCATTTTAAACTTCCCGCCATTCTACTTCATTGTTACTTCTTCTGTGACTACAGACGCGTACGGAAGCAACTTCATTGATTTCTAATATTTATTTGATGGATTCAACGCGAGCGAAGCCGCGGGATAAAGCTAGTATTCTATATTGGTCGAAAAGACAGGGTCGAATTTATTTTGACATTATTATGGCTTTCGTCGTGTTGACAACTTTAAGAATTTAATTTTTACATGCCAGTTTTGCCATTTTGTACATTTTTTCTATATATCTTCTTAATATATATAAATCTCGTGTCACAATGTTTGTTCTCAATGGACTCCTAAACCACTTAACCGATTATAATAAAATTCGCACACCATGTGCAGGTCGATCCAACTTGAGAGATAGGATAGTTTAAATCTCAAATTATAGTCGCAATTTTAATTTATTGCTAATTATTTGTCTGTTATTATTTTACAAAGTTTTCTATTATCCCCGTCTCCTCTTTGTGCGATGCTTCGTAGCTTTACCCGTAAGAGTAACATAAAATTAAATTGAATTACGAATATAGTCTAATAGTATATTGAATCATAAATTATTAGCCGTTATAAATAGATATTAATTATTTCACAAATTACTGATTGCACAATGTTAAATTATAGTTTAAATATTTTTACAAGTTACTTTTAATTTGCTGATTTAAACTAAGTAGTGAAAGGATTAAAATTGTTACGTTCTCCTCTCTCGAGCGCATTCGTCCATCATTTTTGTATCTCCCTCATCATCGCTTTTCCGTTGATGAGATTTTGCATGCTTTTCAGTGTGCGTAGATTGTAAATGCAGATTTACCCCGAGTTGGTCCTGTGGTGGATGCGGATGATGCTGAAATTGCTCGTCCAATCCGGGTGGCACATTGAAAACGCACCCCAGCGGATTGTAGTACGGCGCAAAGAGCGACGAATAGTGATGCGGCTGAGCGGGCGTCGGCGGCGCGAAATAATGCGACGCGAACAACCCCTGCCGTTGTGCCATCTTCAACCGTGTGGTCAACTGCTTCTTCCACTTTGTGCGCCTATTCTGGAACCAGGTTTTAATCTGCACCTCAGTCAAATTAAGTGCTTTTGACAACTCCATGCGTTTACTGACGCTCAAATATTTATCAATCTTAAATTCCGTTTCGAGTTTCTCAAGTTGCTTTGCTGAATAGGCTTGACGCGGTTTACGGTCGAGTCCGGGCTTCCTCGATCGACGACTAGACGGTTTCGGAGCTGCAAAAGTATTTAATATAATAATAGTTAAAGTTTATCACATTTTAGACTTGTGGTTAGATGTTAGGAAGTGTTTGACTAGTTAAACCATTTTTATTACGCGCAAAGGTGACAAATCACGTAACGAGAGCGGGGCGCGACGAATCCGTGCTGATGAGGCGGTAATTTAATTGTCGCCCACTCGCGATGTTTGCCGATCGTAAAAAGCGCAACGCGACCGCTTGATGCGTGTCAATCATCGTTAGCGGAGGCGATAATGTCGTTTAAAGTCGGCTCATTGTGAGCAAGTAACGAGGCGGCGCTAATTGTTGCGCCAATATTGTTTTTTTAAACTTCCACATCAGCGGGATGATATTATTCACTTCTAATCAAAGTTATTTTCCATCTGAATATATCAAATCATGCTTAAAAATATACATTTTCCGCAGTAGTGAATAATACCTCATGGTTTAAACAGTTAAATGTTAAGTTTTCACTTAGTAAAAGAGGAATTTGAAGAATTTGCCTTCAACTATGACGTCGCTAATTGTAAAAATCAACACGGCGTCATTTTGTCAAGTTTTAAAACGATTTACAACGTGTCGGTAAACATTATCAACGCTAACTTCTCGCGACGTGAAGAAACGCTCGTAAAACGATCACTGCATGTACAAACAGAGATGCACCGAAAACATTCTCATTTTCATTTGGACATCTCATTAAACGGGCGATAAACGAGCTGATAGTTTCAATAACAATTGTTGCCTAATTAATGTGTCAAGTGTTATTTGCGAACTGATTAGTATTCGCATCGTAATCACGTCGTGCAAAAAACAAAAACTTCCATACTTAGCATCTACATATTCTACACCTTTTGTCGATAATATGCATGATTTTCGAGAGGGTAGTGTTTCATAAATTAAGTTTGAGATCAAACAGTTGAAAATGTTGAGATGGTTGTGGTGTCCAGGAGGGGATGTTTAAGCGCACGCGATCTCGCCATTTAGACGGCCCTTCATCGCCCCCACTGGTATTATTGTTCATCCGCGCCGGCCCGCTATTGTGCGATAATGGATGGCAATTTACTTCTATTATGTGATTAATCGAATAGGTGTTAAAAGCGATTTATGAAAATATTATTTCATTTATCACCTTCACACGCTTCACGGAACCCTGAAGAAAGGAAGCAAAAAAAGAAAACAGATGAAAATCTGCTGTTCAGTTTTGCTTCCAAGATTTTCATTCTCGTTAATGGTTTATTACATCATCGAAACACAATGAAAAGAAAACAAAGTAAAATGTGGGTTTAGTATTTATGAAAATTGTGAATTTGTTTAAATATGAATTAATTACCTTGTAATTGAAATAGTTGACTAGATCTTTTTTGTTCTTGATTTAACCAATTCGAATACAACGCTGTTGATGATGATGAAGTTCCCGGATGTAAATATGGCAGAAAACTGGCTTCACTTGAAGATCTCGGTGGAGTAGGTGAGAATTTGCCGCTTATCAATTCTAATAATCCTTGATCTGCTGCGACTTGATTGCGACTATATTGTGGAAGTTCAATTAAGGAGTGATACAATGCTAAAAATCAATATTTAATCAATTAATTCAATTAATTATTTAAATTTCATATTATTATTGTTATTGTTATAAAATTACTTACCACTTCGACTAGCTTGAATTGGCGTAGGTTTTTTAATTTCTTTTTTGCTGCTAGAGTTCCCATATTTATCCTCGTCGATGCCCAATATTCGATCAATTGAAAATTTATTATTTCCACTTTGTTTATTGTTATCCTTATGACTTTGTGCTTCTGTTGATGATGTGTTGTGATGTCTTGCTGATTCAGTAGGATCAGACTCGCTAATAACATCGACGCAATCGGGATCATCTTCGTCACTGCAATATTCGTCAGTGTCGTGTTCTTCGTGATGATTTGCAGCTGGGTCATCATCGTCATCCGACGGTAAAACCTGATTTGGTATATAATTCATTATATTAACTGGGTACTACTTGTAACTTGGAGACTTTAATGCCCGTGTTAAAATTAAATGATTTAACAAAAATCGCGTTCACAAAAACTGTTTATTGAGTGTTATCGACGGTTTTGGAGTGTTAGGTGTTTGGTCCATTTAGTGCGCCCTTTTTCGAACAACTAAACATCACACGCTCGGACAGGTAGCGCACGCCGGCGGCGTATCTCGGTTTCCCCGCCCGCCTTGCGAGACACGTGAAAGATCCTTTCACACCTCCTGCGGCCGGCGTGTTTTCTATCTCGCTTGCGTTCGCAAACGAGGCGGAGGATGAGCGGATGGATCTAATGGAGAGAAATGAAGGAAGCCGCACGCCCTCAACGGGAGCCCCACGTGCTCATCCTTGCCGCCGCCGCCGCAGATTGGTGTTTCGCGTGTTTTGGCCGCGCCGATGATACGGACTCTAATCCATTTTTACACCTCGTACAACTTTCTAGTGAAAACAATTAGGAAACAGGAAATATCAACATGTACATTTATAAACACACACAATTTTAATAAATAAATCATTACAAAAACAAATTGTTTAATTTGTTGATATAAAAGTAATTAAATTGAATTCAATATTTTATTTTAAGGTATCATTTTACTCCTAAAAGAAACAAAACAGTTTGAGATTCACTGTCCAGTGCAATCCGTACCTATTATAATTTTCCCACACTATTCAAACCTTTTTCTTCATTCCCAACAATGGGGTGTGAGCTTCATATTGCCACTTAAAACGTGATGAATGAAAAGCACATTGTTTTCACTCGCATTAGCAAAACTCTTTTATATTAATCTTTGCTTAATATTTATCGTTCTAATCTTCTGCAAAAAAGCATTATTGTTTCAAAATTTTCAATAATATCATGAATATTTTTGTAATGTTTGAAGAAGGTATTGGTTTGTGTGCGCAGTGTAAGCGTTCGGAGAATGAGAAAAGCTCAGCTCGCCGCAAATGGCATCTGAAAGGCTTTTAAGCGTGATTTATCTGTTTATGGATAAACGCACCACCGGGGCGCGCTTTGTGGGCGACGCTGGTGGCGCGCGAGATGTGTGCGGTGGTTGATTGTTTGGAGGCGACGACGGTAAGGACCGCCAGCACGCGCTCACCGCGCAAAGAGCTTTAAACAGATGTTTCGGACGTTTTAGTTTCACATTACACACATTACCGGGCGCATTGGTAAAAGATTACAGATTACCAGCTAGGAACTACTTTATACAATCACTTAATCATTAAATTCATAACCAAAATCAATAATATTTAGGACAACTTTTGTTATGCAGAATATATGTTATATTGAGTGAAATACATTGAAACATTGTTATTGCAAATCTGCCTACGTTGCTAATTGTTTATATCAATAGAATGGTTGCGTCCCATCGCACTGCGCGACTCGATGCGATTGGAGGAATTTAAACGCCATGCGCCTTGCCTCCTTCATCTCATCCTCCTCGCAGAATGCTTGCTTCCATCTTGCTAAATGCGCTCGCGTTCTGTTTATTCGGTTTAGCGGCGCAAATGTATTTCATAATAAAACACGTAAAACGCGCTTTTATGCGCTTATTCTCGACCCATTTCCCTAAGCTTTCCCGACGCTCAAAACATCCCGGGAAATGTTATAAATGATGCTTTGCATCGTTTTCATCCTTCTATTTAGCCAGACACAGAAAGGAATTGCTGGCATGAATGGAGGATTGAATTAGTAGCACTTTAGATTTTCTTTTCACGTTTTTAATTCAAGATATGCCCAATGAATAAATTAATCATTTTCATATTTTATACCTGTACCACATTGACGGTTGAAAAAATTTTACTAGGTAGAGATTATTTAAAACTGTATTTTAAGTGATTAATGTGCGCACGAGTCGAAACTCAGTCACAATAATGAAACATCTGTGTCAACTGTGTGTCTTGTCTCAAGATGAAATTAACATTAGTCAGTCACGTCACGTACATTTAAACTCTTTCACGCGGTCATATGCTGGAAAATTAGCGTCGAAGACATCTTCTTGTTGATAAACTTCCAGAAGAATATTTAGTCTCAACTTGGGCATCAGATCAGCAACAACTTCCGATGTCAAAATGCGGCGTAAATTAAAACTTTTAAATAGTTTTCATATAAAAAACTTAGTGTATTGTATAGTAATTAGTGTTTTAATCAATTTAAATGTAAAAACTTGTGATGCGGTGTATAATGTCATCGATGTTGATGATATCCTCTCGGCGGAGTTTATGCCAGGCAGTTTGCTCATGCTTGAAAATCCTGAAGAAAGTGTCAAAATATTGACAAATTCAAGTCATGATTATCATCTTAACCCGGAAAGTAGAGGTGATAATACTACTCTTAGTAAACATGCCAGTGTCGGAACTGACGGTGGTATTATGGATGCCTTAAATACCATGGTATTTCATAGGTTTGTTCTAGATATATCTAATTAATTGAGTAAATAAGCAAACATAATTTTAGAGGAAAAATGAATGAATATTTGTGTCGGAATTTTATTGCTGAACAAATCATTGAGGATATGACTGTAACACGTATTAAAAAACGTCTTGGAGGAACGGACAAAAACTATCCAAATACTACAATTAATCCTAACCATAAAGGATTTTCATTAAGGGACAATATGATTGAAGATGAAGGTTCAAGTCAATATAAAAGTTGGCTAACAAAGTAAAACAACTGTAAATTTTTAGTATTTTAACTTATTTTGATAATATGTTTGTAACAGGAGTACTACTCTAGAAGATATTTATAAACACTATCAAGACGTTGAACGTCGCGAGGATGAGGAAGAAGAAGAAGAGGATGAAGACAAAGAAGAAGAAGAACAGTATGATCCGCATATTGCTGGTTATGCTTATGCACCTCAAGCTCAGCATCCGATTGCCACGCATCAGATACCCATTGGACCAGCGAAATTGGGCCATAGCGGACACAGTGCACCCGGAATTAGCTATCCGTCTAGCGTCGGTTACGGTTATGGTGCTCCGCCGTCGGGCGGTCACGCTCCAGCTCAATATGGTCACAGTTCCTACGCGGGTCACAGTGCTGTGCACTCCATTCCGAGCAGTCATGGTTATGGCCATAGCGGTCCACCGCTTAGTAAGAACTAATTATTTTTGTAATTTAAATCTGTCTCTAACAGTTGTTAATTGTAGCACATCATGGATTTGATGATCATGTCACAGTGCATCATACTGAGATTCATCACGATTCACCTAAGTATTCGGGAGGACACGACAGTGGAGGAAAGGATTTGAGCGAATTGTTTGAGATTGCTCTCACTGCTTTGGCGTATTTGTCGTTTGGAATGTTTATCGTACACGTAGTTATGTGTATATCGCATGGGGTAAGCGTTGTTGAACTTGTAGCAAGTGTTTTGTCCTAGTTGGCTGGAATTGGTTAGATTGGTCTTGTTTTACTTACAGAAAGAGAAAAAAGATTCCATGACAATTATTGTGCAGGCATCATCAACTACTGGTACGGTAGGAAATGGAATGGGTATGGGTGGAGGAGGTGGTAATGGAGGCGGTGGCGATGATGGGGGTGATGATGGTGGTGGTGACGATGGAGGTGATGATGGGGGTGGTGATGACGGAGGAGGTGATGATGGGGGAGGTGATGATGGGGGTGGTGATGACGGGGGTGGTGATGATGGGGGTGGAGATGACGGGGGTGGTGATGATGGAGGAGGTGATGACGGAGGAGGCGATGACGGGGGTGGAGATGACGGAGGTGGGGATGACGGAGGAGGTGATGACGGGGGTGGTGATGATGGGGGTGGAGATGATGGGGGTGGAGATGACGGAGGAGGTGATGATGGCGGAGGTGATGTTGGGGGTGGTGATGACGGAGGAGGTGATGATGGAGGAGGCGACGATGGTGGGGGTGATAATGGAGGTGGGGATGACGGTGGTGATGACGGTGGTGGCGACGGAGGAGATGATGGTGGAGGTGACGGTGGCGACGATGGAGATGATGGTGGAGGTGATGGTGGCGACGATGGAGGTGGCGATGGAGGAGATGATGGTGGTGGAGATGCCGGAGATGACGGTGGAGGAGATGGAGGAGACAATGGCGGTGACGGAGGCGATGACGGTGGAGATATTGACGGTGATGGAGGCAATGATGGTGATGACGGTGGCGGAGATGCTACCGGTGATGGTGGCGATGGTACTGAAGGCGATCAGATCCGTTTTCCTTTTATAACCAGTACCTACAACCGTCGACCAATAAAAAATTGGAAACCACCATATCGACCACCGCGCAAACCTTCCCAAAGACCTTTAACCTACAAACGACGTCCTAATACCATCAGAAAGAAACCTATTATATTACAAACGCAACTCCAGAGACCTCCAACTAACAAAAAAACAAAGCGCAAAAAATCTAAGAGAAAAAAATATAAATTCAAAAAAGCTCATAAAGCTGATACTGTTACTTTTCACAATGCTTACAGTGGTGACTGGAAGTCATGGGATAACATGGGGTCTGGTGAAGGTACCATTGATCCCGCCACCCAACATCCAATAATCTGACGTTCTATCTCTTTCAGCGGCATCAACGGGCCGTTCAATCCGAAGACGTCGCCGACGCCGTCGTCGTCGCCGTAGGAAGCGTCTAGTAGAACCACGCGATATGCCATCTCTTATGAACCCCAACATGGATGGTCTCAACGAGTTGGCACGACATGTTCTTACCTCTATCGAAGCGGCATTAGTAGCACATCAAGACGACGGAGCATGCTTACGAAAAGTTCTTTGTGAAAATAACAGATACTCCAGGAGCTTGGATAATAGTAATAAGATGTGGATTCCTGTTTGGAGGTAATGCTAAATTATTTAAAGTTAACAACTACAACACTAAAAACATTATTTACAGTCTTGGTATGAGCTGGCTGTCGGGCAAGTTAACAAAGGATGTTCCACAAGCGACATCTATGCTGGACATGCTAAAAGCTTCAGTCCTAGGATTGGGAAAAGCCAACTGCGAGATTATTTTCCAGGACTGTGATCTAAAAGCGCAGCGAAACAAACGTAGGAGGCGTCGCAGGAAAAAGTAGATTCCAGCAGCGTATCGATCCATTATATTCATGTAAAATTAGTTTAAAGACTGGCACACAGGTGGCGGAAGTCTCTGAAGAAGATTCTCTTTGTGTGGGTGACTTGATGGAGCAAATACATTACGTAATGAACCCCTGTAATTCCTAGCGCTTCAGAAAAGTATGATTATTCCCAAAAAAATCTGCTGCTTATTTTTGTTTAAGATAATACCAATTAATAATTTTAAGTTGATCATAAGAATTAAAGAACATTGTGAAAAGAAATTTTTGTTTTCAATTCAAAACGTTAATGATAAAATGAAAAGCTTATGGGATGCAGGCGAGAGAGTTACAGATGTTTGGCAGTATTCAGCCCTTCATTAAAAGCTATTGCCCAGAAAATTGCCATTTTTGTGCCTTCATGCGCTGCAGCTGCGTTTCCTTGTTGTGACATACAAAACACTAAAGCAAGCACGCACGAACGACCCGAGCGGCGTAAAAATTGCATGCGTCATAAGTTTTCGGCGTTGTTTAAGGAAATGTTGCGCCATTGCGCCACTGTCAACTCCAACCCAAACCCAGGCCAAGATTTAATGGCGTGGGATAAATTTACACTCGTTATTCATACAAATGCAAAATATTCTTCTGCGTGCATTGTTTGCACCAAAATATTTGAAAGCATCAACAAGATAAAATATTAATAACTAGAAGAATACAATTATTGATTAACTTTTCTGGGGTGCTCTTAATGATGGTAGCCTCTTTCAATTACGAGCTAAAACGTAAAAAACGCTAAGTATTAACTAGAAAAATAGGTCATGTAGAAATGATTGATTCTGAAAGCTAAAGCAAAAAATCGCAATAAAAAATATAGACTTTCTTTGCCTTTTTCTCTCTTTTATTTTAGCAAAACTGAACATATTTGTGTGGTCGGGCAATTTCGTATCCTTGCATTTGCTTGTAGTTCATCGAAGGTTTAATTACCCAGTTATGAGCGAGCAGTCTCGGCATGCGATGGAAGTGGAGGTGGAGGAATAATTAACCAGCAAGGCGCCCAAGACGGAAAGGACGGCGGGCGATTAGCGTTACGTTTGCGGGCAGCGTTCGAGGGGGTAAATGCGATCTTCGCTTCGACGTGTCGGAGGTGTGTCAGAAGTGCCCGAGGGGAACACGCTAACGCCTTGATCACAAAACGCAAAACCGTTTGTTGTCTATCTTCATTTTCAACTACTAGCACTAATCTCAGTTTGTATGAGAATACTTTTAAGAAAGTACAGCGCATGACAAAGTTTAAATATGACACCTGGTGATTTGCACAGGCGGAGCTATAGCATGTTTAATAGTTTTTATTATTTCCAACTTTTGCGTACAAGATGAAAAAAGTAAACTTTTTGTGGGGCAGTAGGTTTGTAAGGTACTTTACTGCCGGGAGCGGTTGTTCGCGGCGCTGGCGCTGCGCGCGAAATAAGGGCGCCGGAGCTGGCGGGTCTAGCGGCGGCTGGCTGGCGGCGGGCGGCTTGCGCGCGTATTCAGTGTGGCTCCAGAGTGCCGCGGTGTCGCGTCGCGATGCCTCCCACCGCCGCCGAAACGCTGCGCGCTTGGTTGCTGTCAGCGCTGGTGGTGCACGGTGCCGTCGCCGGCAATCCGGACGCGAAGCGCTTGTATGACGACCTCCTCTCCAACTACAATAAGCTCGTCCGACCCGTGGTAAACACCTCAGATGTCCTACGGGTGTGCATCAAGCTGAAACTCTCGCAGCTCATCGATGTGGTAAGAAAACAAAACTATCGAAAAGACAGAAGCAACAAAAACTATACGAAGCGGCTAACCTAGATAATCATCGTGCGTAAATGTCTAGATCTGAAAAACAACGCAAAATGACAACCTAGAAACACGCAAAACAATCATCTTATAAATCTAACATTGATATCTTGACTTTAAAAAGTTTGTTTCAAAGTAACTTTTAATTTGGCAGATATCAACTGGGAATGATTGAAATAAATAATTTTGGCCATTTGGCACTGATCATTCGAAATTGGCGAAATACACGCTGCTTCAGGTTGTGATACTAACAAAAAAACAACCAGAATGTAAATTTATGCTGCTTTCCGTGCCAATCGCACACGCTTTGATTCATTTCAAACAAATAAAGCAATACAAAACAAAACAATTTGAAAAAATCGGAAACGAACAAATATATAGCTACCAACCAATTAAAAACAAATATGAATATAAATAATAACTTGAAAAGTGTTTGAATAACGGATTAACTATTATTTAGCAACATGTTGTCGTGATGTATTGACATTTTGTGTGTGTTTTTTTGCCAATGGATACTTTCAGCCTTTTTTGGCCTTTTCTGTCGCTGTTTTTGCATAAAATAATTAATCAAAAACGCTGACAATGAGGGCCTTCGACGATGCTACAAAAGGCCACGCACGAACCTGGCTCGCGCAATATCCCTTCGAGACCCGCAGCAGGACGCCCGAATTTGGGGCGGTGCGTTTCGACGAAAACGTGCAGGCACCGAGAAGCGTTACGTAATTATCCGTCGGTCGGTCGGTTCCATCGCAAATCTCTCATTCCGACCAGGATCGTAGCATCTACCAATTTATACTGGCTATTTCATAAGTTAAAATTGCGCATGCGTAGATTTAAAAGTGACACGTAACAGTCTCATGAGGGCGGAGCTTACTGTACACAAAGTACATAAAATGCATAAAATCTTAATATATTTTTTATGTTTTGCAAAACGTTGACATAGATTCGTATAAACTTTTTTTTATTAAAAACGAGCCGTGAAGCAAATGCAAAATTTTCTTAAACGCCTTCAAAGTGCTAAATTATGTATAAACAGATTCAAAGTTAGGCGTTGCGCTCTGTGCTAAATAAACTAAAAACGAGCAAACAGGATGAAAATGCCCAAAGGAAGAAACAAGTTTTGGGGACGAGCTGCAAAAAAAAATTGCAAACCGAGGATAAATTCGAGTTTGCAAATAGGGCTTTAATTAACTGCAGTTAATCATCAAGTTTTTAGGGAGTTTTACTTCATGCGGCAACAAATTTATCTCCGTATTTTTAGTTGAGCTTTAAATACGAAGCAATTTTCAAATTAAACTCAAAGAAACGTGTGAAAAGTAAATGAAAAGTTTGAAATAACGAAATATATCGGTAGTTTTAGGAGTTTTTATTATATTTATGATCGAAATTTTGTGTCAAACACACGTTTGTCACTTAGAAGTTAAAATGAATATTTATGGACTTTTCGGTTTGCGCTCACCATAAATTTCAAATCAGTGATTTCGGGTGTCTTCAGTTAACGCTCAGTATACAGTGGAATCTATTCGCTGGCCTGTCGTCTTGTTGCACCCATAAACACTGACTAACAAGAAGTGCCCGCGCGCCTCGGATGACTTGTACAACAAGAAAATATATGTTCGTCGCCGAGTAAATTTGAACCGTACAAGAAGTGCAACTCCCCGCCGTCGTCAAATATATACGAATGTTGGACGGCGGCATGTCCTTCGCGCCCCGGGGCGTTGGCGAGAGAATTCCAAGTTAAAGGCGTCGCGCTGTTGTTCCTTCGTTTCGCATCGCGTTACTCACACCTCCTCGCCCCTTCGACTCCGAGGTGAAAGTCAGCGCACGGTTACATAACCGTGAATTATGGCGCGGGCGCGCTCTTTCTGCACTTTTTACTACATAAATCATATCAACGGATGCGGCCCCCAAAACGTAGAACAAGCAAAAAAACAAAATTGCACAAGGAAACCGCAAATAATTGGAACGTAAACTAATTTTGTCGACAAATTTTGGGAAATTTTATTTATAGACCTTTAAAACTAGTTCAATAAATAAAGTTACATTAGTACATGCTTGATTTGCATTCGATTGGATGTAGAGCGTTGCATTTCGGCCACTTTTGGCGTTCGACCTCTGACGTTGTGACCAAATGAAGCGCAAGCAAACACAGCAGATAGTCGTTTGTTGGAGTTTGCAATCGATGCTCTTCGCGCCGACATCGGCACCACACGCCGGGCGTTCGCACATCGCTTGGCCTGCCGCCCCCACGCCGGTAAACAACAAACAGGAGCGTAGGGCTTGGTAAACCGCGCTGATCACTTTACGAACCAACACCGCACACTGCATCCAGTTATTGACAAAACTGTCGAACGGCCACGACGTCAAACACAAATTTTTAAGTTGCGAGTAAATTATAAGCATAGAATAGTAAGGAAATATTGAAAAGTTTAACAAAAAACTTTGAGTAGCACAATTAATCACTCTTTGGATGCTCAGTTTTTAATGAAAAATAATTTAGTACGTTAAAAAATATCGAACGTCAATATTCCATTCTTTTCCTCTAGTCTCAGTCATTATAAAGCTTTCTTGGTGAAATTCAGCTTTTACGCTACGCCTCAAGATTTTCATTATTGAGAGAAAAATCTGAATAAATTATACGCGCAGCGCCGAGTCGTGAAGACCGCCTCCATGGAGGAGCGATGATGTCAACCTCGATTCCGGCTAAATATATGCCCTGGAAGTTAAGGGTCGCCGTTCAAAAAAATAAAAAGAGATTTTTCATTCGCAGGTTTCGAAACTTTCACACAAAAACACGACCAGCAATGGCAAATTGGAAAGCTTTAAACAAATTAATCAAAATGCAGATTTTGCTTATTTTTCACGCCACCAACAACGGCGACAGGCCTTCATTATTTTCTTCCGGCGAACAAACAGCGAATGCAAACATGTGACTTGGTCTTGTCTTATTTTTTAACCAAAAAAAGAAAGAAAGACGTGCCTGACGGATAATTAAGATGCGTTCACAAAGTACTGAACAATTAATTCAAGTCAGCTGAATTTAGTTTTTTAGCTTCTGGCATCAAGAATAAATCTCCATTCTTTGCGAAGCTAACAAAAACTTTTTCATTTAAATTGAAAATTTGAATAGTGGAAACTAAGTTACGTAAGTGAGCAGTTAATTAAAATTTTACTTATAATAGTCAAAGTTAAATATTCTCTTTTGTATATTGGTACACAATTTGAAATTGATTTTTTTTTATGATATGTGCTATTCTTGTCAGTTTTGATTAAAACAGAATGATCCGTACTGGTCGGTTTGTGGCGATAACGAGATTTTTGTTGCGAATTCAAAAATGCGTGTGGAAAAAATGATGGTAACGTGGTTTTGATAACGGCACGCCAGTAGACTCGCCGTGCATATCAATCTCGATTTTGGCGGAAAGCGACAGCAGGACAGCACTATTATTTGGCGACAAGTAGTCAGAGACAGAGAAAAAAACGTTTTGTGCGAAACGAGTGACGTGCTGGAATTTAGAATTTGAGAATAATAAACAAGTTTTTATGTTTTCGGCATTCGGCGACACTTTTTCGTATTTGTGATGTCAAGCACGGAATTCAAATTTTACTAGTTTTTGAGTGACATAAACTTGAAAAAAATTACTTTATTGAGATGTACGTATATTACAACTCAAATTTACCATATTTGTATATATTTGCGGTGATGATAAATAAAATTAAAAAAACCTAAAAAGTTTATTTTTTTCGCAAATGGACAAAAAAAGATTTTCCATAATGTGACATTGATATGCCTTTCAAAACCTGCTTAACATACCAAATGCAGTAAGGATATTTACTTTAGATAAAATTCACTCTGTGTACTTTGTGTACTCCGCTTGCGCCCGCTTTGAATTTTTTCCCCGGATCATTTTGGACGTTGTGTTGGATCGTTGGACGCACGACGATTTACATATAAATGCGGAGGTGCCGTGGTGTATAACATTCCGGCAGGACAATGGAAAATAGAAAGCGGGACGTCGTGCACGAGTCGGCCGGGAAAGCGCATGCACGCGACGTGCGTTCACCGCCGCTGGATTTATCGCTTCCAAAGCTCCTGTTTCTGCGATCCTGCTGGATGCGTGTGTATCCGACGAGCGGACAAAAGGTTAAAATTGCACTCGTGTTGTGACATGTATCACTAGACGGCTTTAATTAGTTTATGAAACTAAAAAAATCAACTTAAACCCAAATTCAATTTATATAAAAAGTGTAATTCTAGTCTAAAGTGCAAAATGTAAATTTGTGCTTTGCCTGTACCATTAGTTCCGTCTTAAGACTCGTGTCTACAAACGGTGTAGTTAAATTAACAGCACAGCATGAAGAACGAACAAACGAGCGTGCTTCGCATCCCAGCCAGGCATCGAATCTTATTTCATGTCGTAGAATATTCCTGGATGCGTGTTTATACAAACATACAACTCATACCAAGCCCATAAAATGTTGTCAACTTTTAATTGAATACTTACACATTTAATCACGGTATTTTAATATTCACCAAACATAATTAAATGTTTGTGGGGCAAATTATTAAAGTTTAGCTTTTAATATTTCGCTGTTTGTGTTACACGTTTAAACGTTTGGTATGTTTGATGTAGCAAACCGAATATTTGTGTTCCTGTGTAGTTATTTAGGCGCGCGCATAAAGGTTTCGCTTGTAATTAAGACAGTCGCCTCGATTAATTTATTTATAAAGGCGTCTCTACGACCCGACGCCCAACACCAACGCTCCGGTTTACTACGAGCTGGCGCTTGATTGTTGTCGCTGTGCATTGATATTAATTACTACTACTTTAGCGTTGACGTTTTAATGTCGCGGATATTGTCGTGGCGGAAGAAAACCGACGACAAGTGGAAGAAAACTAAAGTGATTATATTTATTAATTTTTATTTTAAATATTACATGTTGTATT